CAGAAGGATCCCGAAACAAGTCTTCAGACCTGTCTCTTTTACACATCTAGATGTGTATAAGAGACAGGGATTATATCATAGTACCGTATGTTGCACAATGATGTTGAATTTAATGTCAACATGGAATGGCAATTAAAAATTTATTGTCATCGGTCGTTATAGAAACCGAATACACAAATATATTCAAGGAAATAGTGAACAGTATAACAAACAGATGCAATCATTTTATTCTTAGACACAGCATTAAATTTGGACGGTTTCGTACTTATTTTAAAGATTATAAAAGTTGCAAAGGAAGTAAAATTGAAAGAACTTCATACCAACATCTATAGAAGCTTTCAGAGGGGACACACAAACCAAAGGTAAATAAGAAAAATTCATGATAATCGAATAGCACAAACAGCGTATATCCAAAAATATAGTGCTTTTCCTGTCTCTTATACACATCTAGATGTGTATAAGAGACAGCCCTCACCAGTTGATGATCCTTGTATTGTATTCAACTTCTAATCTATTTCACGAAAATTGAAATCTCCTATCTATTAAATAAGTCAAATTTAAGGGACTTGTGGTAAGTCCACGCTCATCTTTACAAGATGTAGGCCTATCAACTGGGTTTAGCCAATTAAAAAAAAAAATCAAAATACAAATGAAAATAAAACGATTAAATATAAAAATATTTCAATGAAATATTGAGAAGAGCATTAATTAAACTAAAAGTTAACTCTTAAAAGTTTTGATAAAAGGTTTCTTTCGTTTTAAAAACGGATACATCTAAAAAAAAACTGTCTTAACACTAGGCCTATCAGTTAATCCATCATAATTAAAATTGCATTTCAAATTATATTTCATTTTTTTTTTGTGGTAACAATTGTCAACTAACATTTTAAATAACAGTATATTATTGGAAAGAGTATTGTTCCATCAACCAGCGTGCTTCGAACTGAAACACTAAGGGAGGCCTCACAGTTCAGTATGTGAGAATAAAACTTTCGGGATTTAGAGTCGCTTTTAAAAATCTGTGAAATTTAGTCAAGTTGGTAATTATTAATGTCACATATTTTTTGCAAACCAAAAATATTTTTTTTCCGCATTTATATTTTATGTAATATTAATGACGGTGACCTGTCTACAAGGCTTAGTGGGGATAAAAAGCTGATCCTTTGTAGCCCTCCATGTTCAGCTGGTTTTTTAAAATTTTCTTTTTAAACCATATTTACAGAGGGTAACCTTTCCAGCATATTCTAGAAGGTTGGCTGATGTTTAGGGGCCCTTTTAAATAAATTTAATATCGTGAAGCTTTTATCAGCGAAGTCTCTTTATGAGGCTTAGGGAGTGGAGTTGTTTTTGGTTGTAAAAGTCCTGCTGTCACAGGAGTTGCATCCAGGACCCTGTGATTAGAAGGCAAGTATCTGAACCTCTGAGCTATTCAACTCCACTCCTGTAAACGAGTATATAAGAATCGGAGAGTGCCATGACCCTCAATGCTCGGTAAACAAGTGTATAAGGCCGGGGAGGGGGTGGAAACCTGATCATTACACCGTTGAATTAGGTGGTGTCGAAAAGTGCTATTGCACACGGGGGAATGGGCTGCTCTCAGCCGTAGGGGTGCGAAAATTAAGAATGCAGACATTCCCATAACAACTAAGTTATTTGTTTGTGGTCATGTGTTGTCTGAAAGGATAAAAGCAATACATTGTTCATTCTAACCATTTACATTACTGCTTTGTGTTATATCATAGTATGTTGCACAATGAAGTTAAATTAAATGTCAACATGGAATGGCAATTCAAAAGTTATTGTCATCGGTCGTTATAGAAACCAATACACAAATATATTCAAGGAAATATTGAACAGTATAACAAACAGATGCAATCATTTTATTCTTAGACACAGCATTAAATTTGGACGGTTTCACACTTATTTTGAAGATCATAAAAGTTGCAAAGTAAGTAAAATTAAAAGAACTTCATACCAACATTTTTAGATGCTTTCGGGGGGGGGGGGGACACAAACCAAAGGTAAATAAGAAAGATTCATGATAATCGAATAGCACAAACAGCGTATATCCAAAAATATAGTGCTTTTCATGCAAGTTTGTTATCGACAGGTTCACAAATGCCACAATAGGCTTAAACATTTAACATAGAAACTGTACAAACAACTTTTAACCCAGAATATGTTCGATATGTTAAATTTGGTAGCGGTAGTAGTAATAGAATCTAGGTTGTTTCCAACATTTAACTGCGGTAATTAAAGTTATGGGAATTGGATTAACATTTTCCAACAGAAAGTACTGGTTTTGGTTTTATCATCATAAATACCATCATCAAATTTACCACCATAATCATGATCCGTATCATAATAATTAGAGCATCATTGTGCCCCATATCATAATTATGTCACTAAATCAACTAATAATTATAAAAAATAAACTGAGATGAGGACCAAGCAAGACCAAACTTTGCTAAGCAAGTATTCAACGGGGGTAGCCTGGGGAGGAAACCTTTTTTCTGGAAAATGTCTTAATTTACCCACTCTCTTAGATACGTCACTGGAATCACACAGTAGATCCGTATCTAAGGCGCTGGTGTATACTGTATATAAACACACAACTGTAATATATAATAATAACAATAAAAAATGATAATAATATTTGAATAATATTAATTAATAATAATTCTGTTTTATAATGCGTTTTCCCATGTTAGCACTCCTTATGTTATTGTTTACCTTTTGATGATGTTAAAAAATCAATTTATTTTCTGATACAACAAACAAAATTGATACATAAATATAAATATAAGTTGCATGGAAGGAGGCTATTCTGTTTTGTAAGTGAACTACAAAACTTTAAAATATAGCCACTTTTACAGAGTTGAAAAAAAAAATGAGTCGAGGATCTGACATGTTGAAATAAGAACAAATCATTTATACAATCCAGCAATTTCGCTCCCTCACCAGTTGATGATCCTTGTATTGTATTCAACTTCTAATCTATTTCACGAAAATTGAAATCTCCTATCTATTAAATAAGTCAAATTTAAGGGACTTGTGGTAAGTCCACGCTCATCTTTACAAGATGTAGGCCTATCAACTGGGTTTAGCCAATTAAAAAAAAAAATCAAAATACAAATGAAAATAAAACGATTAAATATAAAAATATTTCAATGAAATATTGAGAAGAGCATTAATTAAACTAAAAGTTAACTCTTAAAAGTTTTGATAAAAGGTTTCTTTCGTTTTAAAAACGGATACATCTAAAAAAAAACTGTCTTAACACTAGGCCTATCAGTTAATCCATCATAATTAAAATTGCATTTCAAATTATATTTCATTTTTTTTTTGTGGTAACAATTGTCAACTAACATTTTAAATAACAGTATATTATTGGAAAGAGTATTGTTCCATCAACCAGCGTGCTTCGAACTGAAACACTAAGGGAGGCCTCACAGTTCAGTATGTGAGAATAAAACTTTCGGGATTTAGAGTCGCTTTTAAAAATCTGTGAAATTTAGTCAAGTTGGTAATTATTAATGTCACATATTTTTTGCAAACCAAAAATATTTTTTTTTTCGCATTTATATTTTATGTAATATTAATGACGGTGACCTGTTTACAAGGCTTAGTGGGGATGATAAAGCTGATCCTTTGTAGCCCTCGATGTTCAGCTGTTGTTTTTTTGTTTTGTTTTCTTTTTAAACCACATTTATAGAGGGTAACCTTTCCAGCATATTCTAGAAGGTTGGCTGATGTTTAGGGGCCCTTTTAAATAAATTTAATATCGTGAAGCTTTTATCAGCGAAGTCTCTTTATGAGGCTTAGGGAGTGGAGTTGTTTTTGGTTGTAAAAGTCCTGCTGTCACAGGAGTTGCATCCAGGACCCTGCCAATAGAAGACATTATCCACTGAGCTATTCAACTCCACTCCTGTAAACGAGTATAAGAATCGGAGTGTGCCATGACCCTAACGCTCGGTAAACTGAGTGTATAAGGCCGGGGCTGCTCTCAGCATTTGGGATGCGAAAATTAAGAATGCAGAAATTCTCATAACAAGCAAGTTATTGTTTGTGGTCATGTGTTGTCTGAAAGGATAACAGCAATACATTGTTCATTCTAACTATTTACATTACTGCTTTGTAATATATCATAGTGTGTTGCACAATGAAGTTGAATTGAATGTCAACATAGAATAACAATTAAAAATGTATTGTCATCGGTCGTTATAGAAACCAAATAAACAAATATATTCGATATCGAGGAAATAGTCAACAGTTTAACAAACAGATGGAATAATTTTATTCTTAGACACTGCATTAAATTTGGACGGTTTCATACTGAATTTGAAGACTATAAAAGTTGCAAAGGAAGTAGATTGAAAGAACTTCATACCAACATCTATAGAAGCTTTCAGAGGGGACACAAGCCAAAGGTAAATATGAAAAATTCATGATAATCGAATAGCACAAGCGTATATCCAAAAATATAGTGCTTTTCAGTGGCGTAGAAAAATATTTTTTATTGGGGGGGATGATTGGCGTGTTAACCAGTATCGTAACAGGCGGGGGGGGGGGGGAGCGGAAGGGGAAAACTGCCCCTCCCCTGACGGTTTTTACCGGGCTGACCAAGCCGTCGTACGGGGCTGGGTAATAAGAGAAAAGAAAGAGGAGAGAGGGAGGGAAAGAGAAAGAAGAGGAAAAGAAAAGGAAAGAAAAAGAGAAGAAAAAAATAAAGACAAAAATAAAAAGGAAGATATCATAGTGACCAGACTCACAACACCCTGCAACCCCTTCTCCACTTCAAAAACTGTCATAACTCCTTTGATCTATGCTGCCCGATGGCGTAACCACTGGGGGAGAAGGGGGAAATATCTATCTTTGAAAAATCTTCCCCACCCCTTTATAAATGCCCTTTTTTATCCCCTGAAAGCGCCTAAAAACCTAAAATTTCGCGCACATTTCTTGTTAACATGGCCCAATTTTCTCTAAAAATTGCACATTTTAGGGAGTTTTGATCAAATCCAACGAAATTAAAATTAAAAACACCGGGGGACAAGGGGAAAATATCCATCTTTGGAAAATCTTTCCCCACCCCTTGACAAATGCATCCTCTGAAAGTGCCTAAAATTCTCAAATTCTTTGCGCGCATTTCTTGTAACGGTAGGCCAATTTCCTCTATAAATTGCACATTTTAGGGAGTTTTCATCAATTGGACGAAATTAGAAATAGAAACACAAAAATATTTTACGCGCTTGGCGCGCATTTTTTAGGGCTTTCTTAGTTTTATCCTTTTACGTTATTTAAACACATAATAGTCCCAAACTCAAGAAAGACAAATTTAAGATAGATCATTTTAACCTAAAAGAAGGGCCTCAATGTGTATAGATGGTGAAAGAATGTGTATGTAATAAATAAAACCATGATGAAAATGCTTATATTTAGTTTCAAACGCACGTGTGTGGCCTATATTATAAATAAGATAAGCCCTATGACGTATTGTTTTCTATATGGGGAGTGGGGTGGGTATGTTCTTTAATTTTATTAAAGAGGGCCCCTGAATATCAGTTAACCTACTGGGCTAAACTAGAAGGGTTTAAAGATGGTTGAAATAAAACATTAAAAAAATAAAATAAATAAATACCCACTCTGACCCAAGACCCCTGTTACGCACCTCGTGTTAGCGCCAATGTGTGCCCTTGTGCGGACAGGGATATGCCCCCCACCCCCTCTGAAGCTGGAAACCTTGTTTTTGCAAAATACATTGATGCAATTTGCTATTATAGGCCTAAAAAATAAATTCAATCAATTCAACTGATATAACCTTAAACATTCTTGGAATTGACAAACGTTACTGATGTCGTACACGCCCTTCAGTGTGAAATGTGGCTCTCTTTGCAAACACATCTATTATCTAAGGAAAGAAGAGCTTAGATTGGTACCAGATAAAATAATTTTGTTATCAACATTAATACATTATGCTTTTCATCTTTGTAAGCGCATAAGACAGTGCAAATTATTTCTGTGACAGTCTTTTGAAGTGTGTAAAGCTCCGTTTTATCCCATACATAGTCAAAATATTGGGGGGTGGGGGGATGATACAATGGACCATCCCCTCTTTGTCAAATATTGGGGGGATATATCCCTCCCATCCCCCCGGGATCTACGCCTATGGTGCTTTTCATGCAAGTTTGTTATCGACAGGTTCACAAATGCCACAAGAGGCTTAAACATTTACCTAGAAACTGTACAAACAACTTTTAACCCAGAATATGTTCGATATGTTAAATTTGGTAGCGGTAGTAATAGAATCTAGGTTGTTTCCAACATTTAACTGAGGTAAATAAAGTTATGGGAATTGGATACACATTTTCCAACAGAGAGTAGGCCTACTGGTTTTGGTTTTATCATCATAAATACCATCATCAAATCTACCACCATAATCATGATCCTTATCATAATAAGTAGAGCATCATTGTGCCCCATATCATAATTATTTCACCAAAAAAACTAATAATTATAAAAAATATACTGAGATGAGGACCAAGCAAGACCAAACTTTGCTAAGCAATTATTCAGCGGGAGTAGCCTGGGGAGGAAACTTTTATTCTGGAAAATCTCTTAATTTACCCACTCTATATACGTCATTGGAATCACACAGGAGATCCGTATCTAAGGCGCTGGTGTATATATAAACACACAACTGTAATATATAATAATAATAACAATAAAAAATGATAATAATATTTGAATAATATTAATTAATAATAATTCTGTTTTATAATGCGTTTTCCCATGTTAGCACTCCTTATGTTATTGTTTACCTTTTGATGATGTTGTCAAAATTTCAATATATTTTCCATACAACAAACAAAATTGATACATAAATATTCATATAAGTTACATGGAAGGAGGCTATTCTGTTTTGTAAGTGAACTACAGAACTTTAAAATATAACCACTTTTACAGAGTTGAAAAAAAAAATGAGTCGAGGATCTGACATGTTGAAATAAGAAGGTCCTTCTGGTGGTGATTGGAGAGTACACCGGGAGACAATCCCCTACTCTTTTCCGAAGATTGTACTGCGTCCTTTAACATGCACATGAGCCATAATGCACACGGGACCAACGGTTTAAACGTCTCATCCGAAAGACGGTGCGCTATTGTAACTTGTATTTCAGCCCTCTAGCTGAAACACAAGGAGATGCAGTGATGGGAATTGAACCGGGGACCTAGAGATCTCCACGGTTCAGTGCACACACAGTGGCTACCAACAGATTAGCCGACTGAGCTAAGCTGCTCTCTCTAATCTCTAATTGAATAAAGAAAAACATGTAAACAAGAAAATAAATAAATATGGATGGGCCTATTACTCTGGTGGACATGATGCATTTCAGATATTTACCAACAGTTTTATAATAAATAGAACATACATCAATTTAGGAGCCAGCTTTAATGAATTTGAGTGAAATTGTGTTTTTCTTATTTTTGCTTTAAAGAGATGATTCGTTATCTAGAAAGCGAGAAGTAAATTTATCCTGGTTTTTACATATGCTGACATCTTGGTCTCATTACCAGAAGTTAATGAAGGTGACTGAAGGTAAATCCGACCCACTAGTGGAACTTAAAGCAAAGTAAGTTATAATTGAATTATTCAGTAATTTAATCGTTTTGGCAATAACAAAACCAGAGTACCATTATGCTTTTCATTTATTTCTGTCTGTTTTTTAAACAAAATTCATTACACTGTTCTTCTTCAGAATGATTGGGGAAGTTGGTGATAAATCATCAGCCGATGAAATTAAAATGGTTCTAGTAGATTCAATATTCATGGTACTTGCAGCTAAGTCTTCACACGATTCAACTTTTACATGACGACATGGTCACGGATTGTCACCCACTGCAGTGAATGTAAGGAGCACATCCATCCACGCTGAATTTCTGAATTTGAAACGCTACAGTCATTCTTTTTGGTTAAGTACAGTTATAGCCGAGTGTCTTGAAAATGGCCCATATTTCTCAACTGCAACGCGTTGGATGAAATACTGGTTCGACACTGAAGTTTTACTATTACTTTACGTAGCCAAAGTGGGACGAATTTTTGTATTATTTGGTACTTGTTGTCACTAAACAGTATGTTATATTATGATAGTGAGATTTTTCTGGTGGAGACCTTTCAACCCCAGGAACTCAAAATTCGGAGACTTGACATAACCTGGTGAAGTGCACCCCCACCCTAGAAATGCTATGGACATTTAAATAATTCTAATTTTACAAATTAATGCCTTTAATTGTGACATTTTTCAACAGGTCTGCAAACTTCTAACAATTTAATAGCTACTATAGGCCTACAGGTATTCTATAAAATTGCGATTTAGATGTACCTATGGTTAAGGAGCAAGACAGTTCATTCTGAATGAACAAAACAAAACAACATAATTTTCCTACTAATGTTGCATTTTATTACCATTATTACAAATGATGTTCTTATCTCAATACTCCTGGTAATGTGTATGGTAACTTAACTCACTAGTTCCAATTTGCAATAAACTGTCACACTGTAAATAAAAACCTTACGTGAATGATCCCTGATTTCAGTTCTCGTAAGAAAATAAAATCGAATTACCGTGACCTTGACCTTTGACCTTTTCTTCCGTTAATTGAATGGTGTCTTTTTTCGATTATTATGTACCATTCCACTAAATTTTATAATGATCCATTCATTAGTGTTTGACAGACAGCACAACAAACAGACAGCTGCGAATACAACCTCCTTTGGCAGAGGTACACTTTGTGTTTTTTTTAAGAACACAATTTATAAGAACACTGAGGCTAAAATTGCTTGAAAATTAAGAACAAAATAAGAACAAATTGAGGCTGAGGCAAAGTGTCAAATGAGATTTTTATTTTAAAAAACTAGAAAAACCAAAAAAGTATGTCTGTACCTTATGTGCGTTAGGTGTGACGTAATGTAATACCCTCTATAATACAGTACAGTAG